CTGGGCCTGCAGCTGCACAGTGGGGCCAGGAGCCATGGCAATGGTGGTTGCCCAGCAGGGTCAGCAGGGTCAGCAGGGTGGCGGGTCTGGCAGCAGGTGGTTGGGCCATGGCTCAGGGAGCTGGTGGCAGGGGGGCCAGAAAGGACCTCCCCTGGTCCAGCAAAATCCCACATCCAGAACCAGTCAGGTCCCGAGTGTGCCAGACCAGGAAGGTCCAACCTGTATACACATTCTGTTAATTTGCATATTACACCAAGCTAGACAAGTGTTTGAGTGATTGTATTATGTAGCAATACTGTATATGTACAAAATATCTATACCTTTAATATTTCTTTATATAGTTTACAAAATTATAGAGAGGAGTTATTTTTATTAATATGGACAATATTATAATATTATTATACCTTTTCTTTAGAATCTGGAATTTCTTTGCCCAGCTTTGGTTAATTTGTTCAACTTGTTTTTTAAGACTGAAATAAAAAAAAACATTAAAAATGTTAAAATATTTATCGAGTTAAATGAACGTCTTCAAAATTCTGGCCAATACCTTTGTATGTGTTGCCTCTCTTGATCTTCAGATAGTCTCAGCTTCTCAATTTCAGCAAGTAATGCTCTTTTTTCAGCTTCCTTCTCAAGTGCAAAATACATTATAGAAAGTTAAGTCACATATTTATTTTCTATGCTAAATGTGCAAAAACAAACAAACAAACAAAAAACTTTACTCTTGGTATTCATAATTCTAGTTTTGGCTGTTAGGGTAGGAAAACCAGACAGCTAAAGGAATTAATAACAGAGCCTTTTAACTCTAGTCATTGTTTCAACGCCAGCCCAGATATGGAGCAATTGAGAATCATTATAATTTCACAGCTTTCAAATTCTTATGGGCAAGGAAATTGTTATTTGTTGGAGAACGTATAGTGTAGTGATTACAACATAGAACTGAATTTGTGGTTCTTAGTTCTGTTACTAATTCTTTGTGTACCTTGGATTTTCACCTCTCTGTGCCTCATTTTTTCTCTCCTTAGTACAAATATAATAGTATAAATATAATCTCTTACAGGAGATTAATGAATGTCTGGCTAGTACTGCAAAAGCCTTAAATAAAAGTCACTATAGAAATACAAATTATTATTTTTGCTATAGTAATTAAGGCCTGGTCTACACTAAAGAGGAAAGTCGAAATAAGATACGCAACTCCCATTACTGCAACTGCAATTACGTAGCTGGAGTAAAAGTATCTTAAATCATTTTGGAACCATCCACACAGTAAGAGGTCAACAGGAGAACACGGTCCCATTGACTTCCCTTACTCTTCATGAGGAGCAGGACTACCGCCACTGATGGGAATGCCCTCTCAGTTCAAATTAGCATGTCTTCACTAGACCCGCTAATTCAAACCCCGGAAGATCGACTGCAGTAGCTTTGATCGTCTCTGTAGTGTAGACAAGCTCTAAAAGATTTAACAAGCAATGGTTCTGAAATTGCCCACAGACTAGTATCAAAAGACAAGAAACATGGCTAAAATATTAACAGAGAATTTGTTGGGATTTTAATAATAAAAACAACACCTTATAACTAGGACTCTTCTTTTGTGGCTGTTTGTGATATCCCTTTCGTGATTCTTTTTTCTCATGAGGCTCTGTCATTTCACTTTTACTCTCCACCATCTCTTTCATTTTTTGTGTATCTTTTTCTTGTAATGTTGGAATCTGATAATCAAAGAATCAATGGTGATTACATTTCCTAGGAAAACTAATTTTATTGTCACTTTCATCTTAATTCATCAAAGTTAAGAAAACAAATTAGAAAAATAACATTGTAGCATAATAATTACTCTAACTACTGTACTTAAAATAAGGGTAGTACTGTTTCAAAATAATAAAATAGGCCCCAATTAGATCAGCTCAATGGTTTTACTCTCCCATACGCTTATCAAAATGTCATATATATTAGTATTATAGCTGTTAGTTGAATATTATACTAAGTTTAAATCTGACAAGACAAAGGATATATTATTTTTAAAAACTATAAAGATATTGTTTTTAAAATCTAAATTAATCCCTGTTATGTCTCCATTGAAGTTGACAGCTCTACACTACAGATGAATCTGGTCTATTGCATTGTATTATCTGTCCTATTTCAATTGAACTTTCAACTGTGCTAAAGCATATTGTACTGAAAGCTGTCCCACTACACTTCAAGCCAGCCATTTGTTTTGTCAGCTGCTAACACATTCTACTTTCTCAGGAGGACACATGCTGGTCTCTATGTAGCCACTTCATTGACTGTAGACAACACCAGAAAGTTAAAGGACAGCCGGAGATGAAGATACATTGCAGCATCATATCTTTTTAAATATAGACAAGCAGTGGAATCCACATCCTGTGAAAACTTCAAATTAAATTTGTTGTAAAGATTAATTATAATATAATAATGATGATAGCATACCAGCCACACAGGCCCTAATTCTCCACATATTGATTTTACAGTGGTGTAACTCGCCATTTCAATGGAGCTATACTGGGGTAAATGAGGAGTCTGTGAAAGGAGAATCTGGCCTACTGTAAGTATACACACATTGGGCCAGATCTTGGGGCATACTAGAGAGATACAAGGCAGTTATAAAACCATTAGATTTGATATCCCTCCCATGCAGAGTCTAGGATTGTCAGATGGTTTAACAAAAAAATACCGAAACCCCCTCCCTCCCAAAATACCACACCAGGAAAAAAATCTGTTGAGAAAAAAAAAAAGGAACTGGGGCTGAAAAACAGTTGCGTTCCCTTTAAATCCTGGGACTGGTGTAAAAAAAAAAGGACCTGGTACTGCAGGGGAAAAGTTGTTGACCAAAAAAACACAACCCCTCCCAGTTTGCCCTTTTAAGAGCAGAGCAGGCATTGCCCTTTTAAGGAGGACATTTTGAAGTCTGCCTAGGTCACTCCTTCCTCCTCCTGCCCCAGCCAGCCTGAGCTGTACGTGTTCCAGCGGACACCCGAGCCAGGAGAAACAGAAAATATCAGACATTTCACATGTCTGGTATTTTCTGAATTTTTTTACCGGACGGAAGGCCCAAATACCGGGCTGTCCGGTTCAATACCAGACACCTGGCAACCCTAGTAGAGTCATTTCTACAGATGAATCCTTATTTGGAATAAAGCTATTGTAAAAACTCCTACAAAAATCCCTTTCCCATTTTCTGCACTGGGAGGGTATGTCTGGGTCAAAATGGACATAGTCAGAGAATTTCCATCTCCTGACAATCTCCAGTTACCTGAAGGGCACCTTGAGGACCTGGTGGATATTTTAGAACTTCAGCTCATTATGGCACTAATAAAGAACTAAATGATATAGAAAGTAGCACATCTACAACTATCATGGCAGAAAGAAAGAAAGTCAAGAACATAGGCAAAGTTTGCATGCAGTGCCAAAAGGACATTCCTTACTAGGAAAGTCTGACCTTATAATTTACTTGAACTTCACACAGTTCCCTCCTTCCCCATATTGTAATTCACAACCACCTACTCAGGTGGTCATCTATCTCTACAGGTGTTTTGATTTTCTCTCTATTCTGACTTGAGCTGGCAGACATGGGTTTTTTTGGTCAATAGGAAATTTCACTTGTTTGAAATTTGGTTTTGTTCTAAATCAGAATTAATCAATTTTTAAAATTTCCTGTGAACTGGAAATCCTGAAAAAGATCTTGGAAAAAATGGCATGTGGTCTTTCCAATAGGAAGTCTGATCCCTGCACCTTGGATGACCAGATAACAAGGGTAGTAGGTAAGAAAAAGCCCCAAATAAAATCAGGACATCTAGCTACCCTACCTGCACTTTAACACCTATTGAGTCAAACTAATATTCATGTCAGTTTCATGACTGCTTGCCTAAGAGTTGGAAGCTCTGGACTTCTTGCCCTAGGGCAGTCTGCAAAGCAGGGATGCCCCTGGAAATACAAATCCGGGAGCTTGTCTCAGGACTTAGGACTTCCAGGGACCTAGATCCATGGCAGAAAGCATGTTAAGTCATTAGATCCCCAGATCATCTTGGGTTCTCTGCACTTCCAGACTCCCTTTTGTAGGGCTGGGAGCTGAGTCCATGTTAAAGTCAGAGTTCCCATGACTTTCAGACTCCTAGCTCCATGGCATAGAGTCTGGAAGCTCTCGTTTGGCTGCCTGTCGCAGAGTTGCAGACCCCAGAAGACTGGGATCTCTGATCTTGAGGATGCATCAGAGCCACAGATCTTGGAGACCTAGAAGCCTGATGCGGCAGGGTCTCATCAAGGTTCCATCATAAACCAGCCTTTGATTCACCAAAAAATAATCAAACACAAATTGTTTTTGCAAAGCATTTTGGGTTCCACAAACTGGCATTTTCCAAAAAAACTCTGTTTCATTAGAAAATTTCTGATCAACTCTAGTCCTGATCTTATTGTCCATGTAAGTCTTTACCTTCAAGTTTCTTCATCAGAGCCACTCTCTTTTTGGCAATAGGTGGTTGCAGTGAACTCTTTGGAAATTGTGAAAACCAATACTAAGCTGATCAGAAGTATGAGTTTTGATTGGTGTGTGAAACCCCTTCTCCTTTCCAGGGATTCTTCAGGATGACTAAAAAATAATGATGACTCTGGAAGGAATCTTAACCAATCCAGCTAGGCCAAAAAGGTGATGACTGCATTACTGGAAATCAAGGGTATTAACTGCTGCTTGAAAAATTCAAACTATATTTAACAACATTTAATTTGAAATGCATCCGAGAGAAGAAAGATTTTATGTTACATTACAGACAAAGCTGATAATTCTTCTAAGGTGCATTGGCACTTAATACAACCATTTGCAATATTACTGACTTTTCACTTAGTTTCCCAAAAATCATACATTTATAATTATTTATTATTGTCAGATACATCCCTCATTCCAGAAAGACTAGCTACATATTATTTACATCTAATTTCTGCTCCCCTACTGATCGATTCAACTACACATTGTCTAGGGGTTTGGAAATTCTTAATGATCACTTTACATTATCTTATGGCACAAAAGCTCTCAAAAGTATTAAAGGTGCTGCTTTTAGCTTTATTAATATCTAGAGAAGGATTAGTGATGGTATATCCGTTAACCATAAATCATTTGCATATTCTTCAACTGGGAGCAACCAGTATACACATTTGACACAAATGCCTGGTCTTTTGACAGCCTAAGCACATGACCATCTTATGATAACATGATACTTGCTCACAAGTGGGTCAGATCCTTGCTTGAGGATATTTGGATTCAGGCAATATTGGTTTATATGAACACTACAAGGGCCACATGTTTTATGGAAAATATTTTCTCTGTGTCAAAAGTGAAATATTGGAAGCACATACCACTATACCAGGGTGGGCAATAATTTTTGATGGGGAGGCACTCCGAGATTTTAAGTGTTTAAAGGCTGCACTTTTCTCCGGAGGAGGTATAGGGTCTGGGACAGAGGTTGGGAGCAGAAGGGAGATTGGGATATGGGACTGGGGTGCAGGAGAGGGTGTGGAATCTGAGAAGGAGTTTGGGTGAAGGAGAAGATTGTGACCTGGGGCATGGAATTGGGGTGCAGGGTCCAGGAAAGTGTATGGGTGCAGGAGAGGATTCTGACCTAAGGGAGCGGGGTAGGAAGAGATGAGGGAGTGGGGTAGGAAGAGATGCAGGGTCTAGGAGGGAGTTGTGACCAGGGGGAGAAGGGTGCAAAGGGTGACCTGGGGCAGGGAGTTGGGAGGAGAGTGGGGCTAAGATGCCAGATGCAGGCTCTGGCTAGAAGGCACTTACTTAAGTGGCTCCTGGTCTAGAAGCTCAGCAGGACCCTCACGCAGGCTCCCTGTCTGCCACAGCCCCAGGCTGCTCCAAGCAGCTGGCTGCTCCATGTGCCTCTCTACATTATGTGCCTGGGGAGTGAGGAGAAAGGAGACTTCATGCACTGCCTCTGCCCCCAGCACAACCATTGCAGCTCCTCTGACCAATGGGAGCTGCAATGATTGTGCTGGGGGCAGAGGCAGTGCATGAAGTCTCTCCCGCAGTGTGTGGCACACAGGCACACAGACGGCATAGCTAGCCATTTTGAACAGCCTGAGGCTGTAGCAGACTGGGCTCTTTGAGGAGCGGCCTGCGAGCTGTATCTTGCCTATCCCTGTTCTATATACTTGCCTATTTATGAGAGTCTTTATATAGTCAGAATTTTGAGGGCATGCTGCTTCACATGTATAAAACTGTTTTCAGAAATGCCAGATTTTATTAAAATATGTTTATTTTGATAGCTGTATTTCCATCTGTTCTCCCTAAGTATTTAGCAGAGGAAGTCATTCATAGTTATTATTTCAGAATGTTTACAATATCTCATTCCTGTAGGAAATACATGACAATACTGAACCTTCCTCTAAGGCTCGCTAATAAATATCTTCTGAAAATCTAAATGTCCATAAGATTTAACACCAATAAAGAAATTTGACTTATTAGAAACAAACAAAACAAAACAAAACAAAACAAAACAAAACAAAACAAAATCTTGCTCTCCCACAATAGGATGGTAAAAGAACACCACATATCAATCTGTTGGGTATTACCACACTCCTGTTTCAGGAAAGAAATTTCATATATTTCAGGTAAACAGTCACAAAACATACAACCTTTTTAGCAATGGTAATATAAAGTTCAGTAACTGAAGTTTTACAGAGAGAGTAAGAC